GGGGGGGGGGGGGGGGGGGGGGTTTGTCAATGCCAACAGAGAGCGATAAGCCTCCCACCTGTTGCTGCGCCTACTACTTCGCAGTCGTAATATATCGGACGCCATGTCTCGGAAAGAGCCAATAGTAGCCCTGGTTTTGTGGTGGGAGCCAACCGAGCGGTCCGGTTGGCTGGTCTTTCCCACCAAGTGCTTACCCCACGGCGCCTCACCACGCTTGTTTTTTATCCCCCTTTTTCATCCACCGCCTCCCCCTCCCCCCCCACCCTTTGTCCATCTTTCTTCATCTCCCTCAGTGCTGAGACAAACCCGAAAACCACGGCTGTGTGGGGTGCACAGTAGACTCCAACCACAATTCGACCTGGCAGTGTAACATACTTTGTCACTTTGTAATACGTCAACGGGTGAAGCACCACGTCTGCTCCTTCTCCCGTGGCGAATTGCCGCGACGAGGCACTAAACCAATTTCACCCTTAAATAATGTAAACAATCCCCCAACCTTGTGGCTGAATTTTGTGAGAGTGTGAAGTGAATAATAAAAAAAAAGCCGTGAACAAGTTGAATTTACCTGTGATCATGTGCCGCGACGTGTGCAGTGGCATCCGGTGAAGGAGTTTCCTGCGAGAGAGGGTTGATTAATCGAGTAAAAGACTGAATAATCGAAAGATGTCATCGAAAGCTCTGCACAACGAGCACATAAAGCGCCCGATGAACGCGTTCATGGTGTGGTCCCGGGGTCAGCGTCGAAAGATGGCCCAAGAGAACCCGAAGATGCACAATTCCGAGATATCGAAGCGACTGGGGGCCGAGTGGAAGCTGCTGAGTGAGTCCGACAAGAGGCCCTTCATCGACGAGGCCAAGCGCTTGAGGTACGTCACCCCCAGCCCCATAAATTCGGTGAAATCCGTTCCAAGTATTCGAATAAAAAAAGACAAAACGCTCTTTAGTCGCCCCCTGTCCCCGGAATTATGTGAAATCTATTTTTATGTGGAGCGAGATCGTAAAAATAAAAAGCGGGATGATAAGTCGTTGGCGGTGGAACAGGCTGGCGTGTAACAGTACATTATATCTGTATAGAGAGTATAGTATAGAAAACCGGGCGTTCCGTTGAAGCCCCGCTGTCACTGGCTTAACGTAATCTGTCCGTTCGTTCACGGCAACTCACAATGTGGCCCTCGAGATAACAAATAAAGCTCCATTGTCGCAATTGTGTGGATTTAAAAGGATTTGCTCCCCGCTACGGGGGCTCAGTGTGCGCGACCCTCTCAACCCCCGTACAACGCCCGGCCACCTATACGCTGCTGGCCGTTTCCATGATGCTCTTCTCGGTTATTCAAATGCTCTATGACGGTGGACGAGTTCTGCATGGTTATTGTTGCTGTATTATTTTTCAGGTGTTAACTGCAGCCGAATAAAAATCACTCGGCCAGTTATTGATGTGGGGGTGGGATTGATGGGAAGGTGAAAGTAGAGAAGCGTTCAGAGTGGAGGACTCGATTTAGGGGAATTTAGGGGGGAAAAGTGGTTTTAAGTTTATGTGTAATTGACTTAAAAACGAAAGTTTGCGCGTGTGATTGTTTGAACAGTCAAAAATCCTCGTAAATTGAATTTTTTTCTGCCATTTTAACTTAAAGTGTAGATAAGTCTTGAGGAAACTGATACTTTTGAGTATTTTTTAGTTAAAAAACCGGAAAAATTTCATGGAAAATTCGTTTTTATTCAATATTTGATAACGTTCTTCTGAAATCAATAAAAAAAAAGTTTGGAAGTGGAAGTTTTTCCGTCTTCTAGATGAGTATTGAAGAGATGTTGTTTAGTTAAAATTTCATTCAGAATTGAAGAGAAGACGAGGGATTTTAGATCAGAAATTTCTGAGATGTAGATCAAAGGGTTTTTATTCACTTAAATTCCTCGGTTTATTGAAAAATAAGACAAATTTTCTTGCTTCATCAATTTTTCAGATGGCAGAGTCATCAATTCTAATAATGATCTCCTCAATTTTGAGGATGAACTGCTCTCAAACAAAATAATTTCCTAAATCCTGAATATATTCTTTAAGTCTGTTTCGAAAAAAACCTTCGAAAAAAGGTCCTAAATTCGATTTTTTTCTGACATTTTAACTTAAAGTGTAGATAAGTCTTGAGGAAACTGATACTTTTGAGTATTTTTTAGTTAAAAAACCGGAAAAATTTCATGGAAAATTCGTTTTTATTCAATATTTGATAACGTTCTTCTGAAATCAATAAAAAAAAAGTTTGGAAGTGGAAGTTTTTCCGTCTTCTAGATGAGTATTGAAGAGATGTTGTTTAGTTAAAATTTCATTCAGAATTGAAGAGAAGACGAGGGATTTTAGATCAGAAATTTCTGAGATGTAGATCAAAGGGTTTTTATTCACTTAAATTCCTCGGTTTATTGAAAAATAAGACAAATTTTCTTGCTTCATCAATTTTTCAGGTGGCAGAGTCATTAATTCTAATAATGATTTCCTCAATTTTGAGGATGAACTGCTCTCAAACAAAATAATTTCCTAAATCCTGAATATATCCTTTAAGTCTGTTTCGAAAAAAACCTTCGAAAAAAGGTCCTAAATTGGATTTTTTTCTGACATTTTAACTTAAAGTGTAGATAAGTCTTGAGGAAACTGATACTTTTGAGTATTTTTTAGTTAAAAAACCGGAAAAATTTCATGGAAAATTCGTTTTTATTCAATATTTGATAACGTTCTTCTGAAATCAATAAAAAAAAAGTTTGGAAGTGGAAGTTTTTCCGTCTTCTAGATGAGTATTGAAGAGATGTTGTTTAGTTAAAATTTCATTCAGAATTGAAGAGAAGACGAGGGATTTTAGATCAGAAATTTCTGAGATGTAGATCAAAGGGTTTTTATTCACTTAAATTCCTCGGTTTATTGAAAAATAAGACAAATTTTCTTGCTTCATCAATTTTTCAGATGGCAGAGTCATCAATTCTAATAATGATCTCCTCAATTTTGAGGATGAACTGCTCTCAAACAAAATAATTTCCTAAATCCTGAATATATTCTTTAAGTCTGTTTCGAAAAAAACCTTCGAAAAAAGGTCCTAAATTCGATTTTTTTCTGACATTTTAACTTAAAGTGTAGATAAGTCTTGAGGAAACTGATACTTTTGAGTATTTTTTAGTTAAAAAACCGGAAAAATTTCATGGAAAATTCGTTTTTATTCAATATTTGATAACGTTCTTCTGAAATCAATAAAAAAAAAGTTTGGAAGTGGAAGTTTTTCCGTCTTCTAGATGAGTATTGAAGAGATGTTGTTTAGTTAAAATTTCATTCAGAATTGAAGAGAAGACGAGGGATTTTAGATCAGAAATTTCTGAGATGTAGATCAAAGGATTTTTATTCACTTAAATTCCTCAGTTTATTGAAAAATAAGACAAATTTTCTTGCTTCATCAATTTTTCAGGTGGCAGAGTCATCAATTCTAATAATGATCTCCTCAATTTTGAGGATGAACTGCTCTCAAACAAAATAATTTCCTAAATCCTGAATATATTCTTTAAGTCTGTTTCGAAAAAAACCTTCGAAAAAAGATTTTGCAATTCCAATAATACAATCCTCAATTTCAAGCCTGAAATGCACTAGAATAAAATAATTTTCCACCTCAAAAATATTGTTCCTGGTCTAGATAAATCTCGAGAAGCGTGTAAACCCTCCACCCGAAGGACCACAAAGTATCCAGCCTAAAAACCAAAAACGAGTCACTTTGCAGAATTTCATTCGCTGAAATCCCCCGAAAACTTCTGTCTCCGACCAGCATTCGCGCCCTTCTCCCATCGCCGTTCCCAATAATACCCCAGCACAATAATACCACTGTTAACCCCAGTTACAATGATTTCTTGCAGAACCCTCCACATGAAGGAGCACCCGGACTACAAATATCGTCCGCGAAGAAAGCCGAAGTCGCTCCTAAAAAAGGAGAACAAATTTGGCTTCAGTCTCTCCCCGCTGCTGTCTCCGCACAACGACTCCCTCGGGGGCATATCGAGAGGTCTCCTCCCGCCGTCCCTCCCGCCGGCCCACCACCATCACCTCCTCAGCCACGACGACCTGAAGATCCCCAGGTTCTTCCCCTCCTTTCCGTACTCCCTCTACCCGGCGATTCAGCACAAGCTCGGGGGAGACAGTCTGAGCGGTGGCAAGCTCGCGGCGGACCTGACGTTCCAGGCGATCTACGGGTCAGCGAGTTCCTTCTACAGCAATCACCACCAGGTGACCGCCGGCTGGCCCCGGCTGACGACAGCCTCGCCGACGTCCTGCGTCCAGGGCAACTGCAGCTGTCCCTCGCCCCCCAGTCCTCCACTGAGCAAAGACGCCGTCAAAAGGCAGTCCTACCTCCCCCAGAACCTCAGCAAAATCAGCTCCGATAACGAATCGTTCGGGCATTCGTTCGACGAGGAACGACGGACGGCGGAAGCCGCCGCTGACGACCTCTACTATCGAAATAAGACTAGTGAACAGACAAGCATGACTATCTATCCCTCGATATCCGTCGTGCCAGTCGAGAAGACTGATAAAGTCAAGGAGAAGGTCTACCCCTCCGTCTCGCCGACGCCAGAGCGCAAGGAGACAACACCAACCACCAGTGACAACTCATTCTCTGTTCAGAGCTTAACGTCGTCTTCCTCGTCGCCGGCTTCGTCGTGCTCACCGACTATCACAGCCACTCGCAGCCATGTTATTTGAAGACCACTTCCGGTTCTCCCAGATATCAATTTTCGGGGGAACCTCGTTTCCAGCTGCTGGACAACGCCGCCAGATTGGTGGAGAGTCGAACCGATTCTCTCGCCAATTAACCGTCCGGCCAATTTCACGGCTACCAGCAGCAGTTTGAATGGGCAAGTGGAAGTTGCCGATGATGAACGATAATTTTGAGGGCCGAGGGGCGGCGAGGTAAGGGGTAATGCAATTTATTTTGTTCGAGTCGGTCTGGGGATGCGGGATTTTTTGGCGGCTGGAGGGGTGAATCGGCCAGTGTTTCTAGAATTTTCCGCGGGAAGGCTGGTTTCTCGGAGTTGCGGAGATTTCGGGAGCGGAGAAACTTTTTTTGGTGAAATTTCGGGGAGGGTTTAGTAGGCGTTTTTGGGATATTGAATTTGGGACATTGTTTCGGGGGAAAACATCATGACAGTTTAGATTTCAATGGAAATTTGATGAATTTCGAATTTTTGGACGGCAGGAAGACGAGAATTCCTCAATTCACTTGAATTTTTATTAAAATATGAATATTGCAATTGATTGAAACTTCGACAATATGCACTGATAGAATGATTCATTTATTCCAAACGAAATTCGTTAACTATTAACGAATGGTAGAGTTGAATATGACCAAATGAATATTCGTTAATAGTTAACGAATGGTTCACTTGAATGGCGAAAGTCAAGTCAAACAAGGCTCCTCAAATATACATTCGTTAACTATTAACGAATGAACATTTGGTGGGACCGAATAGACCCTAACCTCCAACCAAAATCCATTCGTTAACAATAACTAATCCGTTCTATCAGTGTATTTGCTCGATTTTTTACTGATTTTTATCAATTTTTGTGTGATAATTGAATTTAAATTTACGGATTTCATTGATTTTTAAATGAGCGTTTGAATTTCTAATTGTGAAATTTCTTGAAAGACCTGGAATTTTCTAGAAAATGAAGAATTTTATTTGTTGAGGCCGCACTGTTGGAAGAAAATTTGAAATTTCACAGTTCTCTGGAAATTTGAAGGAATTATAATTTTTTCAGCAGCAGAAAGACGAGAATTTCCAAACTTTCTTGAATTTTCAATCAAAATGTCAATATTCAGTACCAACAATACACTCAATTCTTAATTAATGGATTAGTTCCATGATTTCTATGAAATATCATGGAATAATTTATCTGAAATTTACAGTTTCCATTGATTTTTCCCTGAAGTTTTGCATTTTCAATGACGAAATTCCTCGAAATTTCAGTAGAACTCTATTGATAAAACTCTGAGTTCCATGAAACACGTTGAAATACTGAAAGATTCGCCCAAATCGTTCATTTTTAGCTCTAGAGTATTTATTAAAACTGACGGTGCTGTGTTTGTATTTAAAATTTACTCAAATCACTCAAACTGTTAGAGCTCCATGAAAATGTAGTCAATGCTAATTAGTTAAAAACGAGGTAAAACTCAAATTTCTTTATAATAAACAAGATGAGACTTTTTTCACGAGTCAAAAATCTCCTTATAAACGTACTGTAATCGAGTCGGAATATTTTTGTCAAATCTTCCGTGAATTATACATATCTGTATGTATATACTACGATAAACAATTAATCTGTAATCACAAAAAAAATAAAAAATAAACCGATCACTCGATCGATCCATTGATTATTTGAACTAGTACTTAATTACCTAATTACCAACGCGACTGATACTTTACGTTCTCCATGTAAATTAAAGAATATCAATGATTTTTGTAAACATTGAGAAACAGAAGCAATGACTTATGGATTGAAAAGTTGCATATAAATATGTTGTAGCCTGAATGTACTTTCGATTAATCCATGTACATTATTATCTAGCTTTAATTATTAAGAATAAAGTGCGAACAATCACTAAAAAACCTCAGTATTTTGTTATTTTATTTATTAACCATTAAGTTTTATTTGAATAATTTAATTCCGTTTTGTTATTACAATTTTTTTATGTAAAATGGTGTCGAAATATAGAAGAAAGTGAATTAATTCAACAACTTTTGTCATTTTTTTCAGTCTTTCACATGAAAAAAAACCTTTTATGAAACTTCCTCCTGAACTTTTTGAGTTTTTTCTTAACGGTTTCAAGTGGAAAATTAAATTTAGACGTTCCACATTTGAATAACAAAATCATCTCAAAAATAAATGAAATCGAAATTATCACAAAGTTTTCCAAACCACGAAAACTCTCCTCTTGAATTCTGTTTTGTGACTGGAATTGTTATTTTTTTGTTCTTTCACACAAAAAACCCTTTAAAATGATGAGTAGATAATTTTTTTCACGATTAAAAAAAAAATTTTGTGTGGAAAATCAATTTATTGAATAAAATATATTAATTAAAATTTTATAAAATTTCCTCGTAAATTTTCAATCCTATTCCTAACGGTTCCAAAAAGAGAACTCAAAATAGAACTTCAAGATTTCAATAAAATTTAAATCATTGGAAAAAAAAACCAATTGAAATTACAACAGTGTTTCCGAAACCGCGTAAATTCTCCTCTTCATCTCCAAACAATATCTCCAATCCCAAAAACAATATCCCTAATTCCCCATTTATTTATTCCACCCAACACGAGGATCTTGAATCGCGAGTGGCTGGAGGAGTTGAGAAAGGCTCGACCCCTTTGAGTTTTATTTCTGATAAGCGTCAGGGCGTCTCGTGGTTGCCCGCCGCGCGCACAAAACGACATTATCGTAGCGGCAAAAGACCCTTTCTTCCCCCATAAAGGCAATCACGCCTTCGTCGTACTAAGATAACAGTTGGATGGAAAATGGAGTAAGAAAAAAAAAGAATAAGGCGAGAGGGAAAATATGAAAGGAAGCATAATAGAACTCCGAGCGAGGGCCAAAAGCGACTCCTTATCTGTGCCACTGGCAAAAGTCCCATTAATAATAACAATTGTCTCGCGGCATTAGGGACAATTCTCACAATTGAATTTTTTTTATTACCCCCGAGTCCTCCTTTCTCATCACCGATTGGCTGGCACTGACACTCGCGCCTCAGGCCGGAACATCCGGTGGATAGTGATCGAAAGGGCGAGAATGCCACGGGTAGATTTTTCAATTTTCAAATAGTGTCCGAGTCTCAGTTACTGGTAAACTCACTACCCGATAAGATAAACCCTGGAAAGAACTTCGGAATTTACGTCTTGCATAAGTTTTCCTTATATATGAGAGTCCACAGGAAATATGATGATCTTATCCCACACACTGATATATATGAGTTTTTTTCGCTCGTTTTATATTCGGTGTCGAATCTTCTTTCTCTACAACTAGTCATTATTCACAGAAATATTGAACGATAAAATAGTTTTTTTTATTCACAAAAGAACAATTTGGTGAACTGTAAATATTTATTTTATAATGTTCGACAAATGAAATGGTCTAGTTATTGCATTAAGTAAAGTTTATTTAGATTTCATGAATCATTTATTTCAAATAATTAAAATATTTTCATTGAAATATTTTATGCAAATGGAGGAGGAGTTAACGATAAAATATGTTTTATTCCCAAAAATTTTTTTGAACTGTAAATATTCACTCAAAAGATTTATTTGAGTGTAATAAATTTCATTTGAAATTAATGAATAATTTATTTCGTTTATTTACAACGTTTTCATTGAAAAAACCACATGATTTTTTAAATTGATAACATAAATACTGTTAAAATGAATGGAAAAATGTCAAATAAATTTTTTATTAAGCTTCAAAAGCGTCATTTATCCCAGAGAAACGATTAATCGAGTTTCAAAATCCTAATGAAATATTTTATGCAAAAGGAAGAGCCCCGCCAATAAGAGTATAATACCCAGCGAGTGTATTGCGTAGTGTTGTAGACTGTCGGTTCCTATGCGCGTCACAGTGGGATAGGAAACAATGACACAATCAGCCAGTCGTCTTCCCCGCGGAGGGCCGGAAATCAACAGGAGCTGGACAATAGAGGGAACCGACAGTGCCTGACTACCCACTGTCGTTTACCACTCTGATTATTTATTATTGACCTACACCCATGACTGCATTTTCGTACTTACATTGTCTGGTTATCACTCCACTAATTCGTCCGATACCTGTGGATATATTTTTTAATTCAAATGCTCAATGCTCCTGCGCCCGGAGAAAATGTTTAATGTTTAATGTTTGAATTTAACAGCTGAGAGTGGGGTAAAATGGACTGTACTGTTGTAAAAATGAAATTTCGAAGAATTTTACTGGAAATTTAAATAACAAAATTGTAGGGCTGAAGTTGAAGTCGATTAATGAAAACTCAATGCGAAACATGAATATTCAATGCGACATTAAACGAAGTTTCAATTAATAGAAAATTCAGGAATAATATTTAACTGAATTTCTATTAATTTTGTTGCAATAATTGATTTGGAATGAATAATTTCCATTGTATTTCATAAAATTTTGAATTTTCAATGAAGAAATTCCTTCAAATATCAATGAAACTATAAAATAATAAAAAATGTGCAATTATTTACTTTTGCCAATAACACAGTTTTCGTCATGGAAATTGTAGTTTCCTCTTAAAATTATCGTTTGTTCCATGGAAATTATAAGTATTTATTGGACGAAGACATACAGTCCTCAATAAAATTGGCAAAACTCTGATAGAACCGTAGCCTCATATAATTCTCTGCAGAACTAATGTTACTGTTAGAAACAGTACTGTTGCTCCTGAAATTCCAAGTAAAAAACCTTGACATTTTCACCAATCCCTCACTCACAGAATATTTCATGCATTTTATTACCGAAAAGCCAATTGAATTCTGGAGTATTCAATGGAATTGCAATTTTCAGCTCCACATAATAATGAAAATGATTAAATAATCGGTGCGCGAACTGTGAGTTGCGTAATTTTTACAAAACATTTCTCTCCGTGGGGGCTAGAATGGAATTGACTTAAACCATTTGACCACTTCACTGCTGGATTTTTCGTCCGAACAAATTTTTTCGCCCA